CAGGAATGGGGAGAAATTGAAAGAGAGGAAATTTAGAGTAGGTATTTGGAAGACGTTTTCCCTGTGAGGGTGGTGAGACAGTGGCACAGGTTGCCCAGGGAGGCTGTGACTGCCTCAACCCTGGCAGTGTTCAAAGCCAGGTTGGACAAAGCCTTGAGCAACCTGTTCTGGTGGGAGGTGTCCCTGCCCAGGGCAAGGGGTTGGCATTGGATGATCTCTGAGGTCCATTCCAACCCCTTAACATCCTATGAAACTATAAAAGACTTGTCTCCCTGAGATTTTACATCATCCCTAATTCTACAAGTCTGTGGAAAAACTTCCTGCAAGGCATTACCATATGCTTTCCCCCAGCCCAACTGGGCAGGTTGCACCTCTTTTACTCCACAACTGCACTGCTTCACCAGAGACTGGAGGCCTAAAGTCTCTGCCAGTAAACCATGTTTCATTTGACTTCACATCCACAATGGATTTTCCCTATGGTTTATAAGATCTTGCTGAGATGCTACTGAGCTGTTGCTGTCAAGTGCTTTTCTTCTCTAGACTATTAGCATTGCTCCACTGTTCCTATTGCTCCTCACCTCGCATCTTGACTGATACTCCTCCTCACCCATCCACCAACTTCTCTGCCAACTTTCTTACACCAAGGGCAACCCTCAAGGATGTTGTATGGATGTTAAGCAGTCTACACTTCAACTTGGGCACAACAATTCTCTCCACAGCCCCTTGGGATCCACACTGCACCCTCAGAAGCAAATAGTCCATTTACAGTGGCCCTTCCCTAGATCATTTGCCATCTAGTCTTTCATCCATCCATACTCCTAAATTAAGAACTCTCAAATGACTCCTGAGGATGCAATTCTGAGCTCTAGACCAGGAAGGGTCAATGCAAAGCCACATATATCACCCAAAGCACCAACAGCTCACTAGGACTCCAAACCAGCCTCCTCCCTCAGCATGCAGCACAGTAACTCATAATCTAGACATACAAAGCACAGTTTAAACTACTTTTTAGTATTTCAGGGGCTGCTTTCATCCCAAGTGAAATCCCACTCCTTCCACAGGCTTCCCAACAAGCAGGGAGCACATACAGCCAAACTCCTTGACCACAGCTGAACTCACAATTACATCAGTGTCTCTACCATGAGCTCATCAGCTGGCAAAAACTGACTAATATGCTCCAGCCCATCCCTTCTCTGACTTCCAAGCTGGGTTGAACACAAAGCCAGGTCAAGAAGGAAGCAGCCAAGATGCTGCAAATGGGAACAGCTCGCTCATTCCAGCCTGGGTGTTCAGCCTCAAATAGGTGATGATATGGGTGCCCTGATCCCACTGTTGAACTGTGGAGATAGAGCCTATGTAGACGTATTTATGGAGTTTTGTTTACTTCCAAACAATATGGATATGAAATCATCCCAGACCAGTGTCTCCTCCTCCCATGACCTCTCATCTTTCTCCAGATCATAGCAGGCCTTGATGTCATGCAGACCAGTCAAAAACTCTCATCCTACCCCCCAGCTGTAGCTTCAGGAGCCTCCAGGAAGATGTGACCCAAAGGGAAAGTCCCTTTGGCATTTATTGGTAGAGCATGTAGTGGAGGAGACAGACAAGCACCTAATCCCTGCTGCTCTACAAGAGCAAAGCTGCTGTTCAGACTATCAATGCTTATGCTAAGCCTCAGGTTAAAAGGAAAAACCCAAATCCTGTGCTGACATGAAAATAAAGCTCTAAATTAACATCTCAATTCACTTCCAGAGCATCACTGGGGCCTGTATGTTACCATACAGGGTAAATTAATTAGGCTTCACTTCCTTTGTGTCACCCCAAGGCAAAAGACCTGCAGGACCCAGTGAGTACATCTTGATGTGTCACCCCTAATGCTGCATGCAAACACTTGCAGCAAGTTAATTAACACATCAGCCCTCCCACATCATGGATTCTAGCTCATTAGCCTTCAAACTGTACAGGCACACAGAATCTTCTCCTTTCTGCCCGTTACAGACAGGACTTACATGCTGCATAGACTACACATGCCTGGGATCCATCCCTGCACCATTCCCAGCACATCCCAAGTGGTTTATATCCCAGCCTCCCCCTCACTGGCTCACTACCCAAACTAGCAATGTCAAACCTAATTTATTGCTTTCACCACTAATCATCGACTTCATTAAAAGCAACACTGGGATAACAAACAAGTGTTAAACACTTGCAATTAGGTTTAATTTGTTCTCAAGGAAAATCCCACACGATTTTCAGCTCATTATGGGAAGAGCTGGAAAGGGTTTGGACTGTGGGTGGAGGTGTCTGGCTTTTAACAAACAGAGAGAGAGGCAGGAATTCCCTAGGTGCTGCACAAGTCACTGGAGGAGCAACACATCCTGGGAGCAGATCTGACGGAGAGTCAGAGGCAGGGACACACCTTCCTCTGCCATCTGAGCTGGCCACATTCAAACATACCTCCTGGGCTGACTCACCAGCCCAACTGCTGCTCAAACACCACAGTGGAGCTGCTCAAACAGCACCTGGGAGACTACCTGACACATCCTGCAAGAAGGGAAGCAAAGCAGCACTGGCATTCAGGTCACACAAGGGACATTGTCTCAGGACTGGAGAGAAAAAGCTGATGTTGGTACAAAGATTATGAGGTGTGTTTTGAACAGTCAAAATAGAACCAAAGAAACATCAAGGCTGGAAGAGACCTCTACAATCATCAAGTCCAACCATTAACCTGTCACTGCTCTAACCTCTAAACCAGATCCTCCAGCACTACATCCAGATCCTCTTAAACGCTTTCAGGGATGACGACTCCACCATCTCCCTGGGCAATATTCCAGTGCGTGAACACCCTGACAGGGAAAAAATGCTGCGCCTGAGTTGAGCAGTGTAGGAGGAAGGAGACCTGTGGTCTGAGGAGGGATCCAGGCTGCACACTGGTCCCACAAGACCATTGGGGCACCCTCCATGCCTCGGCAAGCGTGGCCATATCCCTGTCTAGTTTTGAAGGAAAGAGCTGGGCAATGCAGGCACATCAACAACTGGAACAGAAGTCCTTACCTGCAAACAAACCTTCTCTGGATTCCCTGGTCAGCAGCAAGCAGCCATCTAAGGCAAAAATCAACCACTCCACTCACTGCATTCAAAAATAAGTCTGGCTGAAGGTGTGGTTTGCTCTTTGCAACCTGCCTCCATCTTCTGACAGTGGAAAAAACCACTAACCTGCTTTTCCTGAGAGGCACTGGCAGGAGTTGAAGCTATCAGTGCACCTGACACTCAGCTGCCATGAAAATGAACACACATTCCTGGGCAATTGTGAATACCTCAGCACAGTAACTTAGAACCTCACTGAGCTGCCACCAGCGTGTCACAACAGGGAGAGTTTGGAGGCCCAAATACCACAGAGGCACTTGAAACCTCAAGTTGTGTAATCTCCTCTAACCAAGCACTGAAAATGATTCAGCAACTTCAAAGGCAACAGCTGTTAATTTTTCATGAGGAGCTGTTAAGCCACTATATATGACCACCCCTGATGGAACAGCTAATGAGATGCAGCCTCCAGGATAGGGTCTGAGAAATAATTTCCAGAAGCAAATCATAGAGAAAGGAATTGTGAAGAGCAGATACTCTCATTCTCTTCTTTGGTGGTGCAAAGGTATTAAATCATCCAGCAGAACCCAATAAAACCTGCACTCAGACAGGTTTAATAAATGAAATACTGCTGTGTGCCAGCTCCCAGTTACAAGACTCTCTATCAGATCAAATCACACCTCCTATAACAGCAGTGGTTACAGGGAGTACCAAACTGGTTGTCAGACAGTCATGAGGAGCCCAAAGCACTCAGAGCTGCTCAGGAGTGAAGGCAGGTCACAGGCTGACAATTCGGTTCATTACTCAAGTTTTCCTCCTCCTGAAAATGTGTCTGATGTGAAAATTAACTAGGCAGAAGTGTCAGGAGGGAGCCAGGACTAACCACGAAGAAGGAGTGAGGTTGTATTTCAACAACTACATTTACATGGAATAATAAAAGGAAGAATTAAAGTATATCTCTCCTATAACCTCCCTCCCACATTCAACCTCTGCTTCTTTCTGCATACACTGTGTGCATTCCCAGGCAGAGGGATGGACTCAGACAAACACACACACTGGATGTCCCAGATGGTTTAAAAGCTTTGCCAGCAACTCCCTGCTTTGCATGCAGCATCCTAAGAGCTCTCAAGGCAGGAGCCTTGATTATCAGTAAGCCACTCCTTGGACATGCAACTGGAGATGGGACAAGAGGTCTCCAGGTCAGAGCATTACTGTACTGTGCTTTCCAAAGTTTAAACCTAAAGAAACTCATGGCAAGGAAGTAGGTTTTCAAAACAGAAAGGCCCCTGAGAAAATTATGACAATTACAGAGCAAGGAACTACGGGGAAGCTGGAGAGGGACTCTTAGTTAGGAACTGGAGTGATAGGACAAGGAGTAAAGAGGATAAACTCAAAGGACATGGAACTGTTGAATAAAGTCCAGAGGAGGCCACAAAGCTGATCAGAGGACTCAAGCACCTTCCCCATGAGGACAGGCTGAGAGAGTTGGGGCTGTTCAGCCTGGAGAAGAGAAGGTTGTGTGGAGACCTCAGAACAACCTGCCAGGAACTGAAGGGGCTCCAGGGAAGCTGCAGAGGGACTCTGCTAGGAATTGCAGTGACAGGACATGGAGGAATGGGGAGAAATTGAAAGAGAGGAAATTTATGTTAGATATTAGGCATAAGTTTTTGCTGTGAGGGTGGTGAGACACTGGCACAGGCTGCCCAGGGGGGCTGTGACTGCCTCAACCCTGGCAGTGTTTAAAGCCAGGTTGGCTAAAGCCTTGAGCAACCTGTTCTGGTGGGAGGTGACCCTGCCCAGGTCAGGGGGTTAGGACTGGATGATCTCTAAGCTCCATTTCAACATTTTACCAACCTATGAATCTATAGTTTGGGTTGGAAGGGACCTTGAAGCAAGTTCTCTCTAGCAGGTGGAGCATGTATCATGCCCAGGTGTGGTACCTTACGGTCCCTGAACCCAGATCGCTGCTTCTTCTTCTTTCCTTCTGGCTGTGTCTCCTCATTGCCTGATGCCACTGCCCTTCTGCTCTCACTGCTGCTGCTCTCCTCCTCCTCCTCCTCCTCCTGCTTCACCTTCTCACTTGGCTCCGCCCTGGGGCCATGTCTCACAGAGTCTTCTGCATAGGCCCTGTATGGGGAAAAGGAAACACAGGTTTAGGCAGTGCCCGAGTGGTGCTGAGGCTACAGAGATGGTCCTGCCAGGCTCCACCTGATGAAACACTGGTTACTAGTGTGGAGGGCTGCAAAGCAAAGCAATGATCAGTGCCCTTGAATACTGTTTGCCCTGTTATACTCAAATTTCCACCCCACACCAAGATCCAAACTAATAATCACAGTCAATTTGTCCAGTCCAAGAACACCAGAGATATCACTTAGTCAATTATCACACTCTCTCCCAAAAACTAAACATGCAACAATCCCTGGGAAAGGCCATACCATATCCACTAAATTCCACCTCTGCTTGCCCCAAAAGGATATCTAAAGTGACAGCAATGTGTTGCCCCATCAGCACTCCAGAATCCAGGACAACCAGCCTCTCTGGTTCAGCTCACCTGATTTATTTGGTACCTCCAGCAGCTGCCAGGCTGGTTTATTTCCTCCCCCCACCAATGACTCTTGTAAACTCCAGTGCTACAGGATTTGTGACAACAAAACGAGAGCTGTTTATCCTCAGGGTGGAAGTAAACCTCTGGCAGGGCACAGGAGCCTTTTCCCTGGCTGTTCAGACACAGCTCTGTTCACTCAATCACTCAAAGTCAGGAGCAGCTCACAGAACTGCAGCTGATGGTTAAATAAAAAGCAGGATAAATCCCTAAGCCAAACAATGCTCTGATTTTCCTGTGCTTTACTTGTAAAGCAGTTTAGACCCAACCAGAGCTCAGCCCACATTAACATCAGTGCAGTGCTAATCCCTGAGGATCCCTTAACGTGTCACAAGCAACAAAGCCAAGGGTTTGACAAAATTATTTCCCTTTCTAAAGCACTCCAACAGCTCAGGCAAAGAGCCCATCTCAGCCTGCCTGGAATGTAAGCAAAATTGCATTGACTTTGCATTGCTGGTGATTTGTTTTGGACTGATCCCAAGGGATGGGGCTTAGACAGTTAGGGGCTGCTCCTTGGCCACTCGGGCACTCCCTGGAGTTGAGAACCTGGTGATTTATAGCTGTGTGAGTTTGTTCCAGAAAGGCTGCCTTGGAGAAAAACAAACAAGGCTTCCAAAGTCACCCAAGCTCCAAGCAAAAGGCTACATATATTTCTTCCCTAGCAGTTTCCTGGAAAACACAGATGTGGCGTGTGAAACTAAAACAAGAGTCTGTGTCTGTCTCCACAGGAATCACAAGCTCATGGAATGATTTGGGTTGGAAAGGACCTTAAAGATCATAGAATCTGGGCCCCTCAGTTCAGGAAGGACACTGAAGTGCTGGAGTGGGTCCAGAGAAAGGCAACGAGGCTGGTGAAGGGACTCGAGCACAAGTGCTATGAGGAGAGGCTGAGGGAGTTGGGATTGTTCAGCCTGGAGAAGAGGAGGCTCAAGGGAGACCTTATCACCCTCTACAACTCCCTGAAAGGAGGTTGGAGTCAGGTGGGGGTTGGTCTCTTCTCACAGGCAACCAGCAGTAGGACAAGAGGGCACAGACTCAAGCTCTGCCATGGGAGGTTTAGGTTGGATATTAGGCAGAGATTTTTTACAGAGAGAGTGATCAGGCATTGGAATGGGCTGCCCAGGGAGGTGGATTCACAATCCCTGGGGGTTTTCAAGACGAGACTGGATGTGGCACTTAGTGCCATGGTCTAGTAACCACAGTAGGACTGGACTTGATGATCTTTGAGGTCCAACCCAGCTGATTCTATGATCATAAACCATCAAGGTTGGAGGAAACTTCGAAGATCATCCAGTCCAACCATGTCACTGCTGTAACCCCTAAACCAGCACCTAAACCCCTGATCTCCAGCACCAGATCCAGACACCTCTTAATCATTTCCAGGGACACTTGCAGAGACAGGATCCAAACCTGAGTCTTCCAAAAGCATCTTAAGACAGGAAAGTTATTCCTCTGGCAGAATCAGGCAGCTCACCTCTCTTGGAGCACCTAATCCACTCTGGCACCTCTCCTGAAGGTTTAATCAGCACTGGCCCATCCTTGAGGAGCTGTGGTTTGGCTGGTACAGCTTGCTGGAATGAGCTGTTGCCAGCTGAGACCATACCAGCAGCACTGACATGGAGAGTCCTCGTGCAGGCAGGACATCAAACTTGGGTAGCTCTGAGAGAACCTCAGCAGGTCAAGGAGGTGATTCTCCCCCTCTACTCTGCTCTGGTGAGACCCAACTGGAATACTGCACACAGATCTCGCATCCCCAACATCAGAAGTACATGGAACTGTTGGAGCAAGGCCAGAGGAGGCCACAAAGTTGACCAGAGGATTGGAGCATCTTCCCCATGAGGACAGGCTGAGAGAGTTGGAGCTGTTCAGCCTGGAGAAGAGAAGGTTGTGTGGAGACCTCAAAGCAACCTCCCAGGATCTGAAGGGGCTCCAGGGAAGCTGCAGAGGGACTCTTGTGTTAGGAATTGCAGTGACAGGACAAGGAGCAATGGGAAGAAATTCAAAGAGGAAATTTAGAGTAGGTATTAGGAAGAGGTTTTCCTGTGAGGGTGGTGAGACACTGGCACAGGTTGCCCGGGGAGGCTGTGGCTGCCCCAACCCTGGCAGTGTTCCAAGCCAGGTTGGATCAAGCCTTGAGCAACCTGTTCTGGTGGGAGGTGTCCCTGCCCAGGGCAGGGGGTTGGCACTGGATGATCTCTAAGCTCCATTCCAACCCCTTAACATACTATGAAACTCTGAAACTGTCTTGGGGACAGCAAAGCAAAAGTTAATCAATTGCTCATCTCCACAACCAAATTGTTCCATACATAAATGCCAGAAAAGAGCTGCAGCAGCACAGATTTGCTTCTGTAACACTTGACTGACAGCTAACAAACCAGGGAAGGGAGAGATGCAATTGGAAATCAAACATTTCAGCAAATCCCACACATCCCTTCGCTCCATCAAGCTGTCAGCCCAGCTGGCTCCAGCCACACACACGTAGGCTGGGGGCAATGCAGTTGGCTTTTCCCTCTCTAATCTATCCAGATAATTCACTCTGCTCTTCACTCAGAGCCCCAGCACACAGGGAAACCAGCTGCTTTCTTCTTTTCCTCCTTTTCTGGGAAGAAAGGTGCAGTTTGTAGTTGCTTCTCCAGCAATGCCTTAAACAGTTGTTCTTCACCTCTAGGCCACAAACTGAATTAACCAGAGCTGCTCTCTGTGTACACATACTACTCTGTGTACCTTACACACTGCATCACCACCCTGTGTGGAAATCCTTGGCTTCCAACTGCAGCTTCCATGCTATGCCCACATAAAAGAGTCTTTCAGCGCAAAAGTCAGAGTGTGGCTGGAGGACAGCCCATAGCTCCAGGAATACCCACCCTGCTGCGCTTCCAGCAGCGAGGGAAGGAAGACTCTCCCTCTCCTTTCTGTGATGAAGCTGACTTTCCAATGGAATTCCTGTTGCTGCAGCTTCTGCACAGAAGGGAAGTGAATACAAAGCTTCCCTTCATTGTGTGCCAAGAGCAGCTGCCAGCCTCTCTCCACGGCGTGTGCCTATCCTGGATCCCAAACCCTCACTGCCATGTTCCAACCATCCTGGTCTCTCCAGGCTTTTTCCCCCTCAGTGAACTGAATTTGAATCATACTTCCCACCCACTTAGCAGTATCTTCTTTTAATCCTTGGAGTAAGCCAACAATCAATTGTAAGATTAGGCTCATCATCCCCCCCAAAATTACTGAGCTACCAATGCTCAATCCTCACTCAGCAAATCATTCTTTAAGGAAGCCAAACACATGCAGCCATAGGATACACATCCATGAAGGAGCCTGGGACTCACAGCAGGCATTGGCACAACACTCCACAGCTGCAGGTCTTCCAGTTAGAGAAGTTACAATCCCTCAGTGGAAAGTATTTTGCTTCTCTGAATGACAGGGGCAGAACAGTGTGCAAAACTCACAGAGCCTTGTGCCAGGGGTAACAGAGCTCAGTGAGTCCAATCCTGAAGGGAAAAGTACTCAGCTATCAGTTGCTCTTCAGTCTCAGGAAGAAATGTAAGAGCCCAGACACTGCCACCAAACCAGCAGCAAGAGGAGGGATCCTGCCTGACACACATGATGACTAAGAGTTGCCACTCTCACTGCATGTAAACATTTGGAGACATCCAAGTGAGCTTTAAAAGCCACTTAAGACTTCAAGGCTCTCATGCTGAGATGCAAAAGGAAGCTTGGACACACGGAACAGGCAACCTCCAGGGACCAGGAGTCCTCTCAGCAAGGAGCTCAGTCTCATCCTCAGCTCAACTATACCCAGTGACTAAATTAGTTTGGTGAAACTTGAATAAGCAATTACCCAGGGCTGATGAAGAGCCACAACCTCATTTTCAGGATGTCATCCCACTCACAGGGCTCTTTACTACTTTGCTTCCCTCCTCATCTTTCATGTATTCAACAATGACATGAATTAGCTAAAGGAATTTGCAGCAACAACTGCAATGAATACACCAAAATTAAGACAGATTCTGAGATGAACATGAGCAATTAGTCTGAGAAGAGCTCTGGATATCAGCCACAGCCTAAAACTGGGCCAAGAACATAAGGACACAGCAGTGTAGTCCATGAGATGGACACATCCATCCTTCCACCCCAGCCAGCAGCAGGAACATTCCTACAGGAAGCACCTTCAGCTCCTGAGGTGCACTCCAAGAAAGAGCTGGACCAACTGGAGAAGATCCAACAGGGAGCAGTAGGATTGGCTGAGGGTCCAGAACACACTGTAGGTAAAACTGACCTGAGTAAGTTAGATTGCCATAAGGAAGATGGAAAAGAGGAAGGTGAGACAACTGTCATGTGTATAAAACAGCTGCTGTGGGACGCTTGCTCCAGTGAGGACAGGACAAGGTGCAGGACATGTTTAAGGACATCAGAAGGGAAGATATGTACACACTGGGGAAGGAGCGAAGCTGTGCATACATACACACCTATACACACACAGAAAGCATTTCATGTTAAGGCCAGGGAAGCACTGGAACCAGCTGCCAGG